TGCTTTATGTAATTTCATTTAATGGTTTAAGTTAACAGTACAATATTGATAGATGCAATAAGGTGACAAAGTAGATGATTCTTAAATCTCTTATCACAGTCTTATAAACTTCCAGTAAAACATAATGCTACTTGATATTCTTTGTGTACACTAATGGTAAAGTTTGTTTTTTTTTAATTATGTTTGTTCAATGATTTTAAACTTTCTGTGACAAATGAAAATAAATATATATATTTGAAAAAAAAAAAAAGAAACTGTGATACATTTGTATAATGGAGTATTACTCCGCTATAAAGAAGAATGAAATCGTACCATTTGGGACGATATGGATGGACCTAGAGACTATTATGTTAAGTGAAATAAGTCAGAGAAATACAAATACCATATGATCTCACTTATATGTGGAATCTAAAGAACTGAATAAACGAGCAAAGTAAACAGAAGTGGGCTCAGAGATATAGAGGAACAACTGATGGCTGCTAGTTGGGAGGGGGTGGGGATGAGGGAGAAGGGGAAGGGGTTAGACAGCATAAATAGGGTAACTACAATATTGCCACAGGGACATGAAAGACAGTTCGAGGAATATAATTAATAATGTAAATATTTTGTAGGGTTTCAGATGGTCACATGTCTTGATAGGGAGACCGCATCATGGATGGAGTATGGGCTTGACCACTGATCACTGCACTGTACACCTGAAGCTGATGTTGTATAATACTGTATGTCAACTATAAGTGAATGTATATATATATATAGTCATGGGACATGGAGTATAGTGTGGGGAGTGGAGTCAAGGGAATTGCAATAGATATGTATGATATTGGGGGGAAGTGGGACCGCAGATTGGGGGAGGGGGGTTGTCACCTCGAGGAGTAAAAATTGCACTGTGTTGTACAGCTGAAACTAATTCTAAAAAAACGTGTATTTAACAATAAAAATTAAAAAAATTAAAATTAAAAAAAAATAATAAATGCAGGGGGAGTGGCGAGTCAGGGCTCTTCTCCGGTAGGAGCACACTGGGCTGCCTTTGCAGGTGGGGGCCTGCTCCTGGGACCTGGGAGACCAGGCCCCCAGCCTGGCCCCTGCCTCCCTGAAGTCCCTCTGGAGGTCATCAGAGCCAAATGTGACCCTCCCTGGAACAACCAATTGGCTTCTGCCCACACAGGCACCAGAGGTTAAGAAAAAGGAAAA